ACCAAAAAAAAAAAAAAAAAAAAACACTATAGAACTATGAGTTAAAGAACGGAGGGAATAAAAGACATAAATGAATCCTACAATGTATTTTGAAAGTCAAATATTCTTTGTGCTAGCTAAAATCTCGGTAATCCAAAATTGAACAAGAGTACCTTTCCTTTGATTAGAGCCTCCATATTATGACGTTCCCTTTCGATTTCTTGAATTCGATTTGTGATAGGAATCTGCCCTTCTTTAAGTTTTCTGACTTCTTCCTTCACTTGATCACGGGCTAGTTTTACTCCTTCATATTCCTGACGAACATTTTCATATTCCTTGAAATAGAAGGAAATGCACTAAATCCTTAGATTAACATGTATGTAAAATCAATATACAAGCACTAAAAAGAGATTTTTTTTCTTTAATTTCTCAATAAGGAAGTGAACCCTTAATTATAAAAGGAAAAACCTGAAAAAGGAAAATGGGTCAAAAGGAAGGCAAGCCAAGTATGGTGGCTATGAATTGTAATCCTAGCTACTTGGGAGGGAGGAGATCAGGGGGGATTGTGGTTCAAGGCAAGTCTAGGCATAAAAGTTCTTGACATTCTATCTCACTCAATGGCTAGGTGCACCAGTGTATGACTATCATCCATAGCAATATAAGCAAATACAAATAGGAGGATCCTAGCCCAAGCCAGACAAGCACCAATGATTACAACTCATAATTGGAGCTACTCAGGAGGCTAAGATCTAGAGGATCATTGTTCAAAGACAGCATAGGCAGAAAAAGCTGAGAAACCTGGCCTCCAAAATCAACCAGCAAAAAGCCTGTCTAGATATATGATTTAAGTGGTAGAGATCTATGAAAATAAGCAAGCCAGGTAAACCCAAGGCCCTGAGTCATTCTAACTTGCTAGTTCAAACTAGCAAGAAGAAACAAGAAAAAAGAAAAGAACTAAGGCATAAGGGGATCAGAGGTATGGCTTAAGTGATAGAGCCACCTGCCTTGCAAATATGAAGCCTGGAATTCAAACTCCAGTACCACCAAAGAAGAAAAAAAAACAACAACAAAGAAATAGCATACAATAAGAGTGAACATATTTAAAGGAAAGAGAACACAGAGTACATTTAAAAAGTAAAAATTAAAAAGACTGAAATCAATCTTTAAAAAGACCTGAAAACTTCAAAATGTAAAATTAAGATACTTCAAATATAACCTTGGAGACTATAAAATTTTTCACGTATATTTTGTTTTGCCTGTTACATAATGTACTGAAGGCATTCAATGTTTTCCCCAGACTGCAGTCTTAGGTAGTAAAATATAAGACACAATAAATAGAAAGAACACAATATAGTCAGGAAACAGATGAAACAGACTAGAGTTAAGATGCTTCAGCTATATTTGTAGCTAACTTTAATATAAGCAGCATATTTTTAGTAAATTCTTAAGTGACCTGACTCAGCACATGCAAGAGATCTAATGTTTGTAAATGTATAAACATTAATATTGAAAGAAAAGAGCAAAAGAATTTCTTGTTTAGTTAGAAAAATTTAGGAGAATTAAGAACACTGAACTCTTGCACAAACTAGCATTCATGTGTATAATGAGTAAATAAATTTTATTTTAACAAAGTGTAAAAGAAGCAACTAATGAGAACAGTAACTAGTACCTTCTTAGTAAGTATTCTGCTAAGGATTCACATATTTTTTGCCTCTAATAACTAAAACTTACCACCCATGGTCTTTTTGCCTCAAGCATCTCAATTAAATCTAAATGTCGCTTACGTTCATAGAACCTTTCCACATCTTGTTTGTATCTTTCGTTTCTCTGAACCATTTTCTCTAGGTATTCAGTTTTCTCTTTGCATGAGGTCTAAAACAAATTTGTTGAACAATTAGTTTAACTGAAAAAGACAACAGATTGAATCTTCTCTAAAAATAAAACAATACTAACAGAATTCTACATTATGTAAAAGTAACATTCATGTGCAAGTTCTGATTGAGGTTCTAAAATTAATCAGCCAGGTAGCTGTATGGAAACTGTCACATCTCTAAGCCTGGACTCTTGCCTTAAAGATAAGAGATACCTGCTTCATCCAATTCAGAGGTAGAAGCAATCTGCTTAACACAGGTGTGTTTTCCTTGAATGAAATCCTTGGGGTACGAAGTGTTTTTGATTTTGGAATTTGTCAGATTTTTGGAATATGTGCAAGTTACCAACTGAATATCTGTAATATGAAAAATACAAAATGCTCTAAATCTGAACCTTTTCAAGTACCTATGTGGCATTCAAAAATAATTCAGATTTGGAGCATTTCAGACTTTTATTAGGAGTGCCCAAACTAAGCTATAATAATATAAGAACTAGTTGTTATGAAAACCTTGATTTTTTTTAAGCATCAAAATGACATGACAGAACTAAAATTTACCCTTTCACTGAGAATTGAAAAGTACTTTGGTGTACAACAGAACCTAGTAGAATTGTTTGTTTTCTTTAGAGGATAGCAGATAATTTAGGCAAATGTTTCAGATGCAAGAATTAGACTGATATAGAAAAAGGTAAGAGAATCAAAGGAGGCTCTCAGAGGATCAAATGATTATATAAAGCTCAAAACAACTTTAGTTGTTTACTCTTAGTACATAAAATCAGTATTTTATTGCAATGAAACTTATTACTAAATATAGACAATTATACTTTAAGAGAAAGCTTTTGTTTAATTTTTTTATTACGAAAGTATACTGATTTATTTTAGATGCAGATATTCAATTATTGATTGAATTTATTCAATTATTCATTGAATAAAATAGCTCTATAAATGATATGCAAAAAGGGCATTTTAATTTATACATTTGTTAAAGATGAAAATAAAAACACAGCAACTAGACAAATAATTCTTTTATAATGTCTACCTTCATGTAACTGAAAAAAACACACTAAGAAAATGGCTCAACCGAAGTGATAAATATTACCTAACTTTTAATGGTTACTATAAATGTTTAAGTCTGACAGAATGACAAAGTAATAATGCCTGTGACAAAAAAAAACTGCAACTGGTTCCTTTATAACTCAGTAACAAAGGAAAAACTGTCCTTAGTATCGGACTGCTAAAATAGTCAAGTTTTTCAAACTTAACATTATCACTTGCTGAAGTCAGCAGCGCACACACGCACACACACACACACACACACACACACACACAAATTTCACAGATTTGAACTCAATGAAAGTTAAAACTATACCTCACTCTTCCACATGTTGAGACACAAACATCAATAAGAGACAACAAAAAGGAGTTTCTTATTTGTAAATACCTCCAGTTGTTTTTCCTTCTCCCTGAAGTTTTTGAGTTCACAGTGATACCTGTGCATTTCTGGAGGACCAATTGACTTCTCAGTAGCTTCAAGGAGTTCAATTTTGCTGAGTTTAGCAAATTCTCCAACTTTGTCCTAGAGCATAAAATTTATATATTACATATTAGCAATGATTACAGTTTATAAATCACATCTTTAAAATGTACTGCAATAGTTAAGATCAATTTTATTTTTTAAAAAATTCCAAAATGTGAATCTTCATTTCTCTTTTATCCATTAGTCTTTAACAGACAAATCTAGCATTGACTATCCTTTTGAAAACCTTTAGAAATAACCTACATTAATATTTCCAGGTAGAAGTGTTTATTTTGTACAACAAAAAATATATAGTATAACAGGGCACAGGCCTAAAATCCTAGCTACTGAGGAGGCTGAGGTCTAAGAATTGGGATCAAAGGCAGCCCAGGCAAAAGCTGAGAAACATCTTCAATTAACCAACAAAAAGCCAGAAGCAGAAGTGTGGCTCAAGTGGTAGAGCACCAACCATGATTGAAAATGCCGAAACAGAGTGTGAGGCCCCGAGCTTAAGCCCCAGTATCAGGAAAAAAAGAAAGAGGTATTCAAAACATATTTAAAAGGTATCTACTATAATACTTGACATACATTTTCAGGATTTTTACAGTTTTAACAAAAATATTGAAACATAAGATTTCTGAAGGTCTATGTATTTTTGAAGGTATATACCAAGTGTGAATTTTGGTATATATTTTATATAAACTGCACTGAATAAAATGCTGCATTCTGACAATTTAAACTGACAAACTGAAAACTTTAAGGTTCAACAAGTGACACATCCACATTTATCTATGCTTAACTGAAGTATCAAAGTTACTGTACATAAAATTAATAGAGCTTTCATTTAAAACAGTCTCAATTTTAGGACTTTGAATCAACTGCAATTAATAATACTGTAAGTGATAAATAAGATACTGCCTTGTACAAAGCATTTTAAGTGCCAATGGTACTGGTGTTCCATCTAAACGGTAACTAGCAGAACATTCCTTGAAAAGAATCTAAATTTTTATGTGGTAAAAAGGAGAAAATTATCCCAAAATTTCCAGCTTCTTAAAAAATTTTTCATACCTGAGGTAGAAACTGGCAAAGGTTGCCCACTTGAATATTTAAGGCTGCAACTTGCTCTTCTACTACTTTCTGAGTTGTAGATCTTTTGTTGATAAACCAAAAGGACTGATTTTTTGTCACATCAATCTCTCGGGTGATTATAAGATTTCCAGAAGTCCTGAACCTAAGAATAATTTTTAAATCTTCATATCAAAACATATACATTCATTGAGAAATAAAATTTCTAACATATTCTTGCACCAAAATTATTGTGCATCATGATTTTTATTTCTTCTGTTATTTCCGGCCCCTCCCAAGAAGAAAACCTTGGACATTAGTAAAACCGTAAGTGACTACATGACAGTTACTATTTATGCAACATTCACAATTGTTTAAATTGTTAAAAAATTAAAATAAATACCAATACTGATTCCCAAACACTGTCAGAGCACTTACATACTAGTTATTTATCCTTTAAGAATTATGCTATTCCTCAATCACATGCATTGACTGTAATTCAAAATGGGCTGGTATACATGTTAAGAGTTAAACCTTACAGTTTTCCCTAGGTGGAAAATGTATGAATGAGTATTAACTCTTGCAAAAGCGTTTCCCAAAATCAAATCTAGTTTGTCCATACAGGTGGCCAGTGATTCATTTCTCACCATGTACTCCACTCTAATTCAGAAGGAATTACATTACATGGCTACAAAGGAATATTAAGCAATATAGAATCTGAAAGAAGAGTATTTACTTATTTCTTGCTTTTAGAAGTACTACTGCTCCACACCTCTCATCTATTCATCCATCTTCTTCACTGGAATTCAGCAGCATGTGGTAAAGAGATAAATTATTGGCATCTAATGGCTAAATAACAATAACTTGTAAATGTTGTATATATGATTATATTGTAACTAGAATACTTCAAACAGTAAGAAGTTTTGAACTTTCATTTCCAGTAGAATGATTAACGGAAGTACCCTTTATTGATTATCCTTCTGTATAGAATTAAAACAGTAAAGTATGTTTATAAATGCATTTACTACTTAGCCATGAAAATAATGAATTCTAGCCCAAATCCTAGTGCAGCTGAGGGCTCAGAAAAGAAAAACAAAATTGACTTGCATCTTGAAGGCATCTGTTTAGTGAAGTGATCTTGGGATTTGTTTTCATGATCTTCTAACAGACAGTCTGCTAACAAAGCTCACCGAACGACCCAATATGGACAATGTAATAGAAAACCACCATCAAAAAACTATCCCTTCAATATAAGGGTATACTCAATATCCTTTGTGCCACCTATTAGGACAGTAATACACAATTGCCTGTCTCAAATTACAACTTTAAGTTGTGAGACAAATGCCTCCCCTAAGAGTTACTAATCACAAGTCAGCCTCAAAGATTCAAAAATCTTCAAGCTGAGAATTCAACATAATATGATCCTGGATTTTAAGTACATAAAATGCTCAGGCAAAAGCTGATTAAAAAGTTCTTTCTATAGCAATTTACCTATCTTCAAAGAATTAACAGATACAGTTTAAACAGAAAAGGAGCAGTTCACTGGAAACAAAAAGAATCAAGAACTAGTAAACATATGAGAAAACCATGAAGATGAACAAATACAATGTCGAAAATATTAAAGAAACATGGATGACTGAGTAAAAAGCCGTATACAATATACCTAATAAGAGGTCTAAAAGGATGGAAGACAAGAAATAGAGTTATTATAAAAGCTCACTACAAACACCAAACATAAACAATTTCAAAGAATGGTAAAATAATAAATAAATAAAATATAGGTATAAATATATTGTATAGTAGTATAGCAAAATTAAAAATCAATACTAAAACTAATTTCACTACATTAGAATGAGAAATACTGCTAATTAAAAACTCAAAAAGAGGGCTGGGAAGGTGGCTCAGTGGTAGAGCGCTTGCCTTGCATGCCAGAGGCCCTGGGTTCGATTCCTCAGCACCACATAAGCAAAAAGAAAAAAGCTGGAAGTGGCGCTGTGGCTCAAGTGGTAGAGCGCTAGCCTTGAGCTGAAGAGCTGAGCACCCAGGCCCAGAGTTCAGGCCTCAGGACCTGACCCAAAAATAAAACAATGAACAAAGCTAGCCCAAGATTATCTTAGGCAATCACTTTGAAAAAAATGAACTGTAATTCATATGTAATCACATTTGAAAGTACACAATTCAACACGTTTTTTAATTTTAGTAAAATATACATGAGCTACTCTTTTAACTATTTTCAGCTACAGGTTTAAACAATGGTTTTTAGTTTATTCACAAGATTGTGCAGCCATGACCACTGTCTAATGCTAGACTATTCTCATTATGCTCTAAAGCGGAATTCATGTCAGGCATCAGTGGCTCATGCTTGTACTCCTTGCTACTCAGGAAACAGATCTGGGAATCATGGTTTGAAGCCAGCCCAAATAGAAAAGTCTTTTCAGTCTGGTCACCAATAAACTACTCAGAATAAGCCAGAAGTGGCACTGTGGCTCAAGTGGTAGAGTGCTACCCTTGAGCACAAAGAAGCTCAGGGATAGAACCTAAGCCCTGAGTTCAAGCACCAAGACCAGCAAAAAAAAAAAAAAAAAAATGCCTTTAGTGGCTTATTCATATGATAGCATGTAACAATATTTTTTATTTTTATTTTCTATTGTGAAAATACTGTACAGAGGGGTTACAATAATGAGTACATTTCTTATCAAGCATTGTAGCCTCCTCCTTTGTTTCCCCTTTCCATCCCTTCCCATCCTCCCACCTCCCCCAACCAAAGTTGTAAAGTTCGTTTTTCCACATAACGACTTGTACATCTCATTGTTGCAATGGATCCACCTGCATCCCTATTTAAACGATTTGTTTTTTCCCTTCCTCTTCACAAATTATACCAACCTCAAGTACAGTGAAAGCAGGGGTTATACCATGGGGGAGGGACATACAAAACAACAAAGAAATAATCTTATAAATGTGTTAGAAACAATCAGCTGAAAGAAAAAAAAACATCTGAATACATATCTTATCTGATCTTTTCTGCTTGACTCAGACATATACTAGTTATTGCAAATAAGGGAAGCATGTAACAATATTTTATTACTTTTTATGGTTGAATAAAAGGTTCCTGTTTGGATACAGCACTTTGTATGGCCACCAGTAATTGATATGTTGATTGTACTAGGCAAAGTTAAAGCTGCAAGCATGACTCTAGAGGCAAAGCACTTGCCTTTGAATTTGCCTTGCAAAGAGTATATACAAGGTCCTGAATTCAAACCTCAGTACTATTAAAAATAAATAAATAAAAGGAAAAAGATTAGGGAAAACTAATTTTGTATAAAGGAGCAAACATCCTCTAATCAGTGGTGTAGATGCAGGTATATGGTTTCAAAGAGACTAACACTGAAGAAAAACTACATATGCTCAGGATACAGAGTTCAGTATTGTACTGCAGATGCTTGAAAATTTTCACTTTATCAATTAAATGTGCCCAATTTGGCTTGGGAGGATTACAAGGTTTGCTTTGTTTCCCAGGCACTATTTGCTTTATAAGGGCAGAAAACACTCAACAGATCACAATGAAATAAACACAACAAACAATAACAAAGGACTGACCAAAACTTTGCAGCAAATAACCTGCATAATGCCCCCGTGGCACTTTAAATTACATTAAATTTCTTTTAGTTTTAAAAATTTTATTACTACCAGCCACTGGTGGATCATGTCTTGTAATCCCAGCTACTCAGGAGGCTAAGATCTGGGGATAGCGATCCAAAGCCAGCCTGGGCAGGAAGGCTTGAAGACTTACTTCTAATTAACCATTAGAAAACCAGAAGTGAAGCTGTGGCTCAAGTGGTAGAGTGCTAACTTTGAGCACAAAACCTCAGGGGCAGCACTAGGTCCTGAGTTCAAACCCCAAGACTAGCACACACACACACAAAAATACTATTACTATTAATAATTTTGGCGTCATTTGGTCAAAGCCATGTGTAACGAATCTACAAACGGTATGGGCTATTACTGAATTTTATTTTTAAAATTTCTCTAACCTGGAAGAAAGAAATCATTATATTTATTTTTTCAATAAAAAGTAATACATTATATGTTGTACTTATGGACCACTAATTTTAATTGTGTAAAACTTCTTTGTTCATTTTTTCTATTGGGTTATATGTAATTTTTACTGACTTGACAATTAATATAAGGACACGATTAATAAACATCAGTTTTAAGAAGAGGAATTAAACCCCTGAGTATAAAATTTTAAGTCTTATGTAATTACTGGGCTCTGTTACCTTCAGTAAAACCATTCCCAAGGTTTTAAAAATATTCAACATTAGTTATATTGTTTTCAAAACGTGGTAATTTTCAAATGGCATTCTATGTGACAAGAATTTAAATAAAGCTATAGTTATTATTTTTCAAAAAATTGGCAAGTCAATTGTCCCAAATCTAGTAATTGTGTGTGTGTGTTACACTAAGAAATATAGATGCAAACTGGGATTATAGGCATCCCAAGCCTATAATCCCAACTCCTCGGGACGCAGAAACTGAAGGACTGCAGTATGAGGTCAGCCACGACAAAAAAAGTATTTGAGCTCTCTATCAACTAATGGGCTGCTCATGGTGGTATATTTCATTCTAGCTAGACATGCAATCAGGAAGACTGCAATCCAGTCCAGCACAGGCAAAAAACAAGACCCTTTTTCAAAAACAACCAGAACATAAAGGGCAAGAGAGGTATAGCTGAAGCAGGAAAGTAATAGCGTAGCAAGCATAAGTCCTCAATTCAAATTCCAGAACTAATATAATAAAGAGAGACAGCCTTTCTTTGCCTCTATTCCAGTATACAACTCCTAATCCCCCAAATTCCCTCTATGATGAAAATCTTTTGTTCCAATTAGGCAATTCTCAGTGAGTCTCCTGACTGGGGGCTGGTCACCAAAGGTCAAATTCTGCTTAGAAGCATGGACCTTTCATTATCACTCCCATGCTCTCTAGGAAAGGAAGCTAGGTTAGAGATTCAGAAAATCATGCCCACATAATGAAAGTTCCAAGAAACCCTCCTGAACTACAAAGTATACAGATCTTCTGGCTGTAAGCATATTTATGTCCTGGGCGTACCACAACGACGTGAGAACAAAAGCTCCCAGGCTCAAGCTCTTCCAGACCAGACATTCTTTGATTGGATGCTTTTATTTATCCTCTACAGATAGCATCCTTTATATTAAACCGATAGTCCTAAGTAAACTATTTCTCTGAGTTCTATGAGGTGTCCTAGCAAATAACTGAACCTAAAGAAGTGGACCTCGGAACCTCAATTTGTAGACGGTAAAAAGTGCAAGTCAAATGTGGCCTTCTGAGGGTCTTGTTGGTTTAAGCCCTTAAGTTATAGGTTCTGCACTAACATGTTTGAATTAAGCTGAATTAGCTATAAATATGAACAATTACATCATCTGAAGCAAAATCAAGGGAACTTAAAATCATCATCAGCCAGACTAAGAAATACAAATATTGTATGTTGTCTCATATGCATGATGTAGAAATATAAAATGAAGGACTGTTTAGAAGTGGGAACTAGTAGAAAGGAAAAAAGAGGTTGAGTATGAAACTTTGTAAGCATGTATGAAAATAATGAAGCCTGTGAAAATTGTTTTAAGGGAAAAGAAAAAATAAATGGGATGAACTTGATGAAAGTACTTCATATGCATTTATGGGACTATCACAATTAAATGTCTTTGTATAATTAATATAAACTAATATACAAGATTAAACAAAATGAACTGAAGTGTGGAGTATATGGGGTAAAATAACCCACACATCTAGTGTTCTATGCTGCTGGGCCAGTGGTGAAGCCCTCTCATGCCAACTACTCAGGAGATGGAGACCTAGAGGATTGCAGTTCCAGGCCAGCCTGGGCAAAAAGTTAGTAAGACATCGTTTCAACTAAAATGCTATGCATAGGAATACATAGCTATGGGGTTTCAGGTACACAGAAGGCCTAGGTGGGAGGATAACCAACTGAGTCAGGACTTGGTAAAAAATAAATTAAAAAAAAGAGATCTTACCTGAAAAATAACTAAAACTGAAAAAGAGTGGAACATTAATCAAACCCCTGTATTTGTCACAGACAAACATTACGACTGCCTCAAAAAATATGCTTTGAGAGAGAGAGAGAAGAGCTTTCTCCTGCACTGAATGTGTAGGTAATAAAACAATTAGGTTTTTCTTATCTCTTATAAACTCCACATGGAACAGCTACCCCCATGATAAATGATCATATACCTTTAGATCTCTTTCTAGTTTCTCCATTCTTCAGCACCAAGAGCATTTTACAACAATCGCATTACAGTACATTTAATGACTGGTAATGTAGTGCCAGTGAGGAAGTCCGCCAAGGCGTGGCTGAAGTTCACAAAGGAGTTCTATTAGCTGCAACCCTGTCCTGGGCTACCTCAGAACTTGGAGAAGCTACAACCTCCAAGGGAGCAAGTTTTGTTTTGTTTTTCCCTTTTTCCTCCTTCCCCCCGGACCTCTAGACTCTCCGCAGGCCTGTCACCTCTCCACGGGCCTCTCTGCAGGCCCGGGTCTCCCCGGGCACCTCTTCCACCCGGGGTGCGGGGAGCGGGCAGGGTTCTGGGGCCTCTCTTCCACCCCGGGATGCGGGGAACGGGCAGGGTTCCCAGGCCCTCTCTTCCACCCCGGGGTGGGGGGTGCAGGCATGGTTCCCGGGCCTCTCCGCAGGCAGGCCCGCGTCTCCTGGGGCCTCTCTTCCACCCCGGGATGCAGGGAGCAGGCAGAGTTCCCAGGCCTCTCCGCAGGCCCGGGTCTCCCCTTGGTCTTCCCTCAGGCCGCCCCGGCCTTCCCCGGCCTCTCTGCCGGCCTGGGTCTCCCCTCCGGCCAGGCCTGAGGAGGGCCGGAGCACTGCTCCACTCTCCTATCTACCTAATCTCTCCCCTGAACTCCGCCCCCCGCCCTTTGACGCTCCGCCCCCAGCGGCCTGGCCCGCGAGGAGTCAGTGACGTCAGCAGTGACATCAGCGTGGCGGTGACGTCAGTGTCCTCACAGTCACAGCAAAGGCTTATTCACACTATGCTTTCTCAAACTCTTGAGTTCTAAAGATGATCTTTACAATCACTTTAGAAACTTATCTGCTGGGACTGTCACTGGAATTGTATTAACGATATTCAATAATTTGGGAAGAACTGACATATTAACTATTAATTTCTTGTTTCTAATAGTGACATTTTATTCAGGTGGTTTTTGTATCCTTAGTAAAACTCTACCATATTTTAATAAGCTGAGCATTTGTGGAATGCCTATTACTACCAGGACTAACTTTCATCTCTAATAAAAACTTTATCCTGTGTTATTAAAGAAAAAAAAAAGCTCCTGGGAACACTCTCTTGCCATGTGGAGGCTGTGTCTTCTCCTAATTGCCCCAAACAGTATCTATTTACTCTACTAGTTTCTAACCTGTTCTCACTCGGTCACTTGTGTTCAGTCAAGACTAAGTAGAAGCAAGAAAAAGCTCCCAAAGAGACTTTCTCATAGTGCCCAGCAGCACAAGAGATCAAGGCAATCATTTGTCACTTTACCCATCATTCTCTCTGTCTCTTCTCCTAAACATTTCTCTGAGCTTTTTATTTGAACTTTTGTTTGGTATATCCCCCGGATTTGCAAGCTTCCTGCTAACAGGATAAACCTTACCATGATTTAGAAGCTACTATGTGGTAGACTGCTGTCCTTTGGGTATAGGTTCTAAGCATGGAATCTGGTTAAGTTACTAGGCAGGAGTTTCCTTGGAAGGGAATGAAGTGGTCTCATGGAACCCAGTTCATTCCCAATAGAGTGAGCTGCTGTTAAGGTATAAGCCCATTCCCCAGACTGCTCTCTGGCTTCCTGTCTCACAGTACCATGTGACCTTCCCACATGCTCTCCTGACACAATGACTGCTGTTACATGACTTTGCTAAGGAGGCTATCAGTCAAACAAAAGCCTATGCTCTTGAACCTGCAAAACTATAAAGAGAAAATTTTCCAAGTTTTTCAGTAATTACTATCTTCTCATAGCCTATGAGTTGATAGGGCTATCATATGATCCGTGTTAGCTCAAAACATTCACAATTTTCCATAAGTATTCCGAAACACTAAAAATCATCTAAACAATATGCAAAAAGACTAAAACAATATACACTAAAAATGGCCAACTTACTGATATTTTATAAGTATCAATCCTGATCTGACAGAAGGTACCAGGGATAGTTAATAAAGAAGAGGTATGGTAGTACATGCAAGAGACTGAAGCAGGAGGATCATGATTTCCAGGTTAGCATGGCTCACATAAATGAAACTGTCTTAAACACCCAGAAATTGTATGGTCAACTGAAAATATTTAGGCTTAATGAAAAAGGATATCATGATGAATTATTGTTATGCCAAGGTCGCAGGACCCCCACCAAGAAGACCACCGAAAGTCAGACTCTACAGCTGTTTTATTTAAACGGACTGTAGCTCGGGCCTTGTCCTACACTCCAACACAGTGGAGACCAGGAGGAGAGTACCGAGCTAAGGATTTGCAGGTCTTATAAGGGCACACAACCAGGTGGTTTAGCTCTGCTCTGAAACAAGCAACAAATGGTCACTGCCTCAAATACTCTAACCTTTCACTATCAATATCATAAGTAAAAGAATAAAGGACGGCGACAGAAGTGTCTGTGTTTGTCACAGACAAGATTCACTAAACTGTCAACAGTGGTTAGTCCTAAAGGTAGAATTATTTGAAGTAGGCTTGCATTTTCAACTTTATATGCCTTTGTCTCCATATTTTTAAGAAGCCAAATACATGTTACCTAATGCTTTCTAAAGTGCTAAGAACTGAACCCAGGGCCTCTAGACTGCTAGGCAAACATTCTGCCACTGAACTTCACCCCAGTCCAAGTATTATTTTCAAAACGAGTTAAAAAACCCAACAAATATTTAAATCTGTGAAAAATTCTGCACACCCCCTTAATCAACATTTAGCTAGAGGTATATTTCTATTTCATTATTTCCATAAACTTAGAATCTCCTTGAGAATTTTTCCAAAATAAAACTCTTATAGTTTGAATTTGAAAAGATACATAAAGTCATGTTTGGATAAAATATTCTTTAAGCATTATTTTTAGTATCTATCCCATAACTGTATTATCTTCTAAAGTCACCAGGAAAACATAAAATAAGCTAAAAAATTATGCAGAAAAGGTGGTTCCAGAACTTTTAGCACTTACAATTCAATTTCAACCATGCCTTTGGAACATCCTCTCTTCACAAAAAATCCAACCTAAAGCATAAAAAAAGAAAACATGAACTGTGTGATAACATCTCCAGATTAACAATCAGAGATTTACCAGTCAGTATTGTTTGGCAAGTCAAGATTTAAATAGTAACTACATGAATACCCATTCTTATTACTTTCTAAAAGTATCCTTCCCAGACCTGAGTTCCTCCATCTTTACTCCCACAAATAACAATAGTAATTTGTTCAAATTTGTAATAGTTAAAATTATGGACCACCTGTGGTCAAGGCAGCTAAGACAATGAGAATAAGATCTACTGCCTATTTACTTACCAAAAAACCCCCATGGGAACAAACTCTTACTACTACTGAATATTTGTACAGAATTGCATACATTAAATATTAACAAGTATAATATTACATATCCCATATAAACTAGGATGTAATTGTCATTGACTTTTAAAAGAAGCAATAATTATAATTTGCATAATAAAATAGACTATATGACTATGAGCTTAAGCATGGTTCCAAATGACTGAGTTTAAGCATGGAAACAGACCCTGGGCCTGCAAACAAACTGGATCTTACACTGGGCTGTAATTAAATTAAAAAATATGGCAAATTTTAGGAAATACATCTTGCAAATAATGCTCTTTTTAATACTAGGAATGTTAGTAAAAAAGTTATAATCATAACAGCTAACATTTACCAACCATTCCCTACTTATGCTACTGTACTAAGTAAGCATTTTACCTATTTCTCATTAAATTCTAACTAGAAACCGTGAAGTACATTCTGGACTCAATATATACACCATGAAATAAAGGCTCAGAAAAATAAAAACAAAAAATAAAAAAAACTGTTCAGGTAAAATACTATGTACATGTATCCCTTTAGTCTATAGTGTCAGTTCTGAGGAATGTGTGTGTGAGTGATTGGTTAGAATCCATGGGTTCTGGGCATGGCTCAGGTGGTAGAGCACCAGTCAGTGAGCAAGAGAGAGCATCAGACACTAATTTCAAAGTCTTGGTCTCAAAAAACAATTCTTTTTTTGAAAGGATCACTATTCATTGGTTAAGAATGAGAAACTGACTTCTATCACTATTATCGTGCTGATACATAAATGTAACGTCTTTGTTTACAATGAATTGGGTTGTGACACTGCTCCATACACATGTTAAATTAAAATTTCCCCTTGATAGAATGTTTCCTCAATATAAACTGTCCTTCTTTCTCTTAATTTCAATTTGAAGTGATTTTATCAGAAATAAGTAGTTACTCCTGAAGTTTTGGGGTCCATTTAATTCAAAGACCCCTTTTATCCTTTCACCTCAAGTCTATACTTTTCATTGAAAATGAGATATATTTCTTGTACAAAATGAATCCCTGGCTCTTGTTTATTAATCCACTTTGCTATTTTATGTCGTGGAGAGTTCAAACTATTAACATTTATTGTTAATATTCAAAGATACATCCTATTTCCTGTCATTTTGTTGTTTTTATACTGATTCTTTCCTATTCCTTCTGTTAATTTACTCCTCTCTGAGTTATTCTATTTTCAGTTTTCTTCTTCTGTGGATAGGATTCCTTTTACAGTGCTATTTTAAGCCATGAATTCCTTTAGCTTTGTAGTTATTACAGAGTTTTTGTCCTAAATTGTGGATAGTTTTACTGGGTACACTAATCTAGGTTGACAATTGTTAGTTTTCAGGGTTTGGACTATGTCTTTCCAGTCATCCTTTTCATTTAGTTTGTCTTCAGAAAATTTCTGTTATTCAGATGGGCTTGCCATTGTAGTAGCTTTTAATACTTTCTCTGTTCTGTATACTTAACTATTAATATATTTAGGAGTATTCTCCAATTTTGTCTAATAAACAGACCTGTAGACCTTCTACTTGGGAAGCCTCTCTTTCTCAAAGTTGGAATTTCCTGCTAGTATTTACTGATAGGTTAATGATGAATTTTGTTTGAATTTTCTCTTCTATCCTATAATTGGTAGTTTTGGCCTTCTGCTGGTGTTCTAAGTTCCATCTGTATTTTCTTATGTGTTTTTTTTTTTAAGGTTGTTGACTGACTGATCTAATTGCTCTGCTTTACCTTCAAGCCCTGATATACAGTGTCTTCAACTTGTTCTATTAGATAGGCTTTTGATTGAGTTTTCCCTTTGGGTTATTGAGCTCTTCAGTTCCATAATTTCAATTTTACTTGTTTTCAGGATTTCTAAAATCATTAACTATTCCTTTTATAATGTACATTGTTTCTCCATTTCATTTACTTGTCTGACTTTTCTACAGTTATTAGTTCATCTGTTGACTTTTGAGGGAGGCATAATGCCTTGTTCAGTCGTAAATTTAGTGATTCCTATTTTTTCCCCCACTGGAATTTACTCATCTGGAGCCATGTTTTTGGTAAAGATTTCAATCTCTTGTTCTTTTAGTTAATTTCTCAGATATCACTTAAGACTGGGTAGTAAATGGGGTGAGTATTTTTTCCTGTACTAGATTGAAGGGTTGTAACCTAGGAATCAATTAATCAATTTCAGTGCTGTAGATCCTGCGCAGACCTCTTCTCTGCTCAGGGTGAGGGAGCTCTGCTGCTAAAGCTATGGGCCCTGATAAACCAGAATATTGTGACTGTGGACATTCCTATGAAGGCCAGTCACTACTACTACTCCAATACCTTTAGATGAATCTTGTAATGGTATCTTCAGCTCCCATTTCCCACTGGGAGAGCCAGGTATGGGATCAGAACTCATCAATGTTTTTCTTCTGCTGGGTTTGCTTCTCTGCAGTTTTCTGCCTCACCACCACTTCCTTTGTGGTTTCTGCCTCCTTTACCACCTCTCTGTCTGTCTTCAGAATCTAGTCTCTTCTGTGTTACCAGATTCTTCTAATTATCAGTGAGTGAAAGCAGCAGGTGCTTCTAATAATCTTGCCCTGCTCTCCAAGATGTTGTTTCTTCGTAGCAAAATAAACAGTGAGAGGTTTATAAAAAATTGGTAATAGTGCAATTCATTCCACTGTACAGTTCTTGGAATACATCCAACACACTATTACAGAGAAAAGAATAGAACTTATGTTCTGACAATATTAAGCCAAAATTCATAAAATTTGAGCTCGTCTTTGGACCACTCTGATTACCTAATATTTGAAATGAAAATCTGAAGTCTAGATAGACTATTGTCCAAGGTCACAGGCTAATTATTAATAAAATATCTATCCTTTCTATTTCAGAAATGCCTCCAATGCAGTATTTTTTTGTAAAAAGCATTTTGAATAGGTTTATTTACAATTTTAAGAGATGTTTCTTTTAATCTTGTAACTATCATAATTTTAAGTTATTCTCATTTCAAGTATTAAAAATATTTTCAGTGACAATTCGATCTCTACTTTCTTCTCAAATGTTCCCATGTGAAATATAGTACACTACCCAAGAACATACACAAACTTTATGACATGTTTAGAAGATACATCAGATATAGTGGCTTACAACTTAATCGGTTATTTGGGAGGTAGAAGTTGGAGGATTAAAGTGCAAGGCCAACCTGGACAAAAAGTTAGAAAACCTCCACTGCAATGAATAAACTCGATGAGCTCTTATAAAATGAGTTTATCTTTTGCCCATTTTTCTTCTAAGTTTTTATTATAACCTGAAATTGACTTGTTGGATTGGATTCAATTAAATTTTATTTTTTCCATCAAATAACCATTGGTCTTAGTAATATATTTAGCCGTCTTTTCTCCACTGACCTACAATGTTAGTTTATACTAATCACAGCACTGTGTCTAGGTTCTTTGTTCTTCATTTATATAGCAATACCACAATGGCTTAATTAATATTAATGCACAGTCCTATTTTTTCTTTTTGTTTGTTCGTCAGCACAGAACCTGAGTCCCAAATGCTAGGATTAAAGGGAATCTGCCTTCATGCCCATCTTTCATATTAAGTCTTGATATCTGATAAGGCAATTGTCCTACTTTATTCTAATTTTTAAAGAGTTATTTGAGTTATCTATGGCCCTTTGAATGTAATATAAGTTTTCGAATCACTTTTTTTTAGTAGTATCTTTGAATAGTTATACAAAGGGGTTCCAATTTAAAATGTTCAAACTATCTTTTAATTTATTATAGACATTACTGGAATTCTGAATGGACTAATACTGAATATATAAACATTATAACTAACATTTTTGATGACAATGATGTATAATATCTCTCCATCAAAATTCAATAGCTTTAAATAAATTTTGCAATTTCTGCATGTAGTATTATGTCATCTGGTAATTTGTTTTCTATGCAACCTGTACATTTATTGCTATTATAAACAACAAACCCAAACAACCTATGGATTCTTTTGGATTTATAAGCAGACATCCATGTAATCTGTGAATAATAATTTTGTTTCTTTCCATGGATATCATGTCTTCTGCCATTCCACCTAGATCTTCTCCAAATATGTTAACAGTAGTAATTCTGGGTAACTTCAACTTTTATATGTTTTCATAGATATATTTTATTAAGATTTAAAAGTTCCCTTCTATCCCTTATTTGTTAAGAAATAGCATATATTATTATGGAATTTAATTAAATGCTTTTCTATAACTACTGATGATCACACAACTCTCCTTAATAACATATTATTCCTACTGTTCAATTTTTCATTCCTTGAATAAATTCAATTTAACCATAACTCACTCATTCATTCATTCACTCATTTTTGTAGCTTTTCGATACAGGACCTGGTTATATAAACCAGGTGGGCCTCAAGCTGACCAAGTTCGTCTCCAACTTGTGATCTGACTGCCTCAACCTCCTGAATGCTGCTAGGATTCCAAGTGTGTTCTACCACATCTGGCTATATTATGCATTTTACATAAGGTTAAGTATTCCTTACTTCAAATGATTGAGACTACAAGTGTTTTAGGATTCTGTTTTCAGATTTTTGAAATATTTGCATATAAAAAGAGTTATCCTGGAGCGGGCTGCCTGTGGCTCACGCCTGTAATCCTAGCTGCTCAGGAAGCTGAGATCTGAGGATCACAGTTCAAAGCCAGCCTGGGCAGGAAAGGACAGGAAAGTCTGTGAGACTCTTATCACCAATTAACCACCTGAAAACTAGAAGTGGCCCTGTGGCTAAAGTGGTAGAGCACTTGCCTTGAGCTACAGAGCTCAGCCCAGGCCCAGAGTTCAAGCCCAGAAGTTATGCTGGGAACAAGATTCAATTCTAAACCTAAAACCCATTTATGTTACATTCATATAGTATACATGTTGTCTGAAAAATTTGAACATATTTTCAACAATTCTGTGCATTAAAGGACACTTCACAGTGTAGAATTTCAGCTTTGGCATTATGTCCGCACTCAAAAATTAGGGGTTATGGAAACACAATGTGTATTTGCAAAGATTCTTTTGTTTTGGTCGGCCATGGGGCTTGAATTCTGGGCCTGGGCGCTGTCCCTCAGCTCTTCAGTTCAAGGCGAGCGCTCTACCACGTGAGCTACAGCGCCACTTCCGGTTTTCTGGTGGTTTATTGGAGATAGGCATCTCACAGTCTCTCCTGCCCAGGCTGGCTTTGAACCGCGATCCTCAGATCTCAGCCTTCTTAGTAGCTAGGATTACAGGCGTGAGCCACCAGCGCCCGGCTTTGCGAAGATTCTTTAGTGAAGATCTTAAACTTTTCTCATTTTCTTATTCTACCTATTGTAGGAAGATATTACTACTGCATTTTATATTCTGAAATTCACTACAATGAGTATCATCTGTGGATTTCTTTCATTTCTCATGCCTGGGATGTATTGGGCTTTTTGTTTCTGAGGATTCAAGTTTTTCAAGATTTCTGGAAAATTTCTAGTCATTCTTCCTTTAAATACTGCATATTCATTAGTCATTATCTCTCTTTGTAACTGTAATTAGACTTTTCCACTACTTAATATCTTAACATTGATTTTACATTTTTCTCTCTATATTGCATATAGGAAACTTTTTTCAAGCATTTTGGTATATAAATTTTCAAATGTGTCTTGGTTAATGTGTCTTTGGTATATAGACTTTCAAATGTGTTTTGGTGCTTTCTCAAGTAGTACATTTTTCATTTCTCTACACTCTGTCTCCCTCCTACCTCACCCTTTTTTAGTTCTGGGGAGGGGCTGTACTGGGGCTTCAATTTAGGGCTTAGTGCTTGCTAAGCAAAATACCACTGAGTCACACTTCCAGCTTTTTTCTGCACTATTCTGAGATAAGAATCTCACTTTTTCTTTGGTCCACAACTGGATCTCAATCCTATTTTATGATTCCTTCAGTAGCTGGGATGACAGGCATGTCATCTCTATTGATTGAACTAAGGGGTCTCACAAACTTTTTGCCTGAAAGGGCCTTGATCTACAATCAGCCTTCCAAGTAGCTAAGATTATACCTGAATTCATTTATATGACACACTCTTGCTACACAGCCCATTTAGACTGGAACTATGTACTTCAGCTTAGCCTTAAGCTAGTGACCCTCCAATCTCAACTTCTGGAGTGCTAGGTTTACTGGCAGGTATCCTCATGCCTAGCTCCTTTTTCAAATTTACCAATCTTTTTGTCATTTATTCCTTTGTTATACCTTCTTTTATTTCTTTAATTTACCTATACAAACTTGTAGATCTGCTTGTGCAGTATGTTGGTTTGGATAATTCATATTTTATGGGTGAGTTTTTTTTAGAACTTTTGGGTTAAAATTCTTTGGAGAACTGGTAGAGAGATATTACTAAGACAGCTTTCAATTAAAATGATAATTTATAACATTTGTGTCTGTTGATTTTTTTTGTTTGATTTGTAAGACAGAGTTTCGTTATATAATCCAGACTGGCCTGGAACTCACTATTAAAATCAGGCTGGCCTCAAACTCAAGATCCTCCTGCTTCTGCCCCCGAGTGGTAAGATTACAGCACCTACCATCATGCCGGTCATAGTTCATACTCTTTAGTTCACAAAGGTAATATGAAGTCCGTTCCCACGTTGGCAAGGCTGTGGTTATATATCCTTCAGAAGACATCTTCTCCCCAACTATCTAATGATGAAGAAACTATACCCACTTTCCAATTCTGTGATATTAATTTTCTTCTCTACACAACTGCCTTGCTTCCAGGAGTTAGCTTCTAACCCCTTACCACCAGTGATGATGGTTAGGTTTTCAGGCAGATAGAAACCTCTAGAGTGGTAGGTTTACAGGAAGATACCATCACAAACTCCCATGAACCACTGAAAACAATTCAAAAGCTGAGCTTTAAAGCAAATGCCTAGCACTTCAGTCTTTGGATTCACAGTATTTTGTTGCTGTACTTTTTATACTTCATTTTCCAAAACCTCCAGTGATGTATTTAAAAATAACACTACAGCTAGGCATCTAAGTGGCTCACAAGTATGATCCTAGCTACTTGGGAGACTGAAACAGGGGATCTCATTTTGAGGACAGTTAAGGCAGAAAAGTTTGAGAGACCTTCTCAACCCATAATTGAGGCAGTAGCATATGCCTGTAATCCCAAACTATGGCGAGAAGTTCAGAATGGAAGACCAAGGTTCCAAACTAGTCCAGATACAGAAGTCGGGCTGGGAAGTTGGCTCAGTGGTAGAGCGCTTGCCTTGCATGCCTGAGGCCTGGGTTCGATTCCTCAGCACCACATAAGCAAAAAGAAAAAAGC